TTTCATCAATCTATTTGAAATTCAAAGCCAGGGGTTGAAATGTCCACTTTCAATTTGAGATGTCTAACTTTCAGCTAAATCTATTAACATGCATTTCTAAGTGACTTTTAAACTAAGCATTTTATCTTATTAAGCTTATATATGGGAAACTATTATACTTGTATAATAAAGTGCACTTTAAAAAATAATCAGTTCAATTAGAAAACAATATTCATGATATTTTGTGACAAACTTCCTAGAACTTATACATGTACATCTCTTTCTCCCCAGAGTAGTCTCTATGGGTGCCTAAACAATACTGCATTATTAGATTTTTTTCAGTTTATAAGCCACACAAGAAAGTTAGCCCATGTTGTCTCTCGAGGCAAAAAAATAGACAATGCTCTGAGAAATATCTGTTTATTCCTAGTTCAGTAATACCACAATGAGATCCTAAATTATGAGATACTTTTTGTTTATCTTACTGTCTCCTTGGCAGCCAGCAACTCCTGTTGCATTTTTTGACATGGGAACCTATAAGGGTGTGGTTAATAAAGTACATTTCCATGGTAAGTATTCTTTAACAAAAAATAAACCAAAATTTAATCAGAGATAGAACTTACTGCAAACTATAGTTTCCACTTTCTGTTGATTTGTATAACTGAGCTTTCAATTTCAGAAATTAAAAAATTCTCTTTTGGCCGGGCGCGGTGGCTCAAGCCTGTAATCCCAGCACTTTGGGAGGCCGAGGCGGGTAGATCACGAGGTCAAGAGATCAAGACCATCCTGGTCAACAAGGTGAAACCCCGTCTCTACTAAAAATACAAAAAGTTAGCTGGGCATGGTGGTGCATGCCTGTAATCCCAGCTACTCAGGAGGCTGAGGCAGGAGAATTGCCTGAACCCAGGAGGTGTAGGTTGCGGTGAGCCGAGATCGCACCATTGCACTCCAGCCTGGGTAACAAGAGCGAAACTCCATCTCAAAAAAAAAAAAAAGTTCTCTTTTGTGTGACATATTTTTATATCCAATAATTTTACTTAAAAGTAAAACAGAATTTTCTTTACCATCAAATAAAGTTGCTATAATAAGTGGTGATATATTTAGTCCTAGTGAATCAAAGGGAAATAACGTGTATTTGATTATGCTGGTTTAAGAAAATATATCTGATTAAGCAAAGGTTAATATTTATGATGTTTGATTTAGTAAAATTTTAAGACTACCAAAGAAAACTAGAAGAGCAAAAAGAACCAAAATTTATATAAAGAGTTAAATGTTAATAATTTAAAGGTTTAGAATTTTTTCCACATTTCAAATACTAAGTTACTGTTATAGATTTACTACCACTATTATCCAGATTTTCCATTTTGCTAAAAAACAATAACACAAGTTATTATGATAAATCAGTACAGATCTTTAGGCTCAACACGATCCTGCTACCTTTTAATTATTTTTTATTATACAACAAACACATATGCATTATAAAGAAATATGAGTTAGAAAAATGAAGAAAAATAGTCTTAGCAATTGGAAATAAGCTGACAAAGGGCTAATATTCAGAATCTACAAAAAAACTAAAACAAATTTACAAGAAAAAAACATCCAAAAGAGGGAGAAGGATATAAACAGGCACTTTTTGAAAGAAGACATTTATGTGGCCAATAAACATATGAAAAAATGCTCATTATCACTGGTCATTAGAGAAATGCAAATCAAAACCACATTGAGATGCCATCTCACACAAGTTAGAATGACAATCAAAAAATCTGGAGACAACAGATGCTGGAGAGGATGTGGAGAAATAGGAACGCTTTTATACTGTTGGTGGGAGTGTAAATTAGTTCAACCATTGTGGAAGACAGTGTGGCGATTCCTCAAGGATCTAGAAATAGAAATTCCATTTGTCTCAGCAATCCCATTACTGGGTATATACCGAAAGTATTATATATCAGTCATTCTGTTATAAAGACACATACACACATATGTTCATTGCGGCATTGTTTACAATAGCAAAGACCTGGAATCAACCCAAAGGCGCATCAATGATAAACTGGATAAAGAAAATGTGGCACATACACACCATGGAATGCTATGCAGCCACAAAACAGGATGAGTTCATGTCCTTTGCCGGGACGTGGATGAATCTGGAAACCATCATTCTCAGCAAACTGACACAGAACAGAAAACCAAACACCACATGTTCTCACTCATAAGTGAGTGTTGAACAATGAGATCACATGGACACAGGGAGGGGAACATCACACAATAGTGTCGGTTGGGGTGTGGGGGGCTAAGGGAGGGATAGCAGGGGGTGGGGAGATTGGGGAGGGATAACATTAGGAGAAATACCTAATGTAGGTAATGGGGGGATGGAGGCAGCAAACCACCACTGCATGTATATACCTATGTAACAATCCTGCAAGGTCTGCACATGTACCCCAGAACTTAAAGTATAATGATAATAATAAAAACAAAATAAGCACCATTAAAATTTCTGTGTGTTAAAAGATAGTATGCTGCTGAAACTCTTTTTTTCTTGAAACGTTCCTCTTTTCTTCTCCTGCTTTTCACTTTCTTAATCCTTAACCTTCTAGTGTTGAATTTTCTGGACCAGCATTATACCCCCTCATCAAGAGGGCATTTTTTTCTGCAGTAGCTGAGCACAATGGTCATATTGAAGAAATTCACTTGTGGAGCTTTGCTTAGAAGCAAAACCCACTTGGCCAGGCACATTGGCTCATGCCTGCAATCCCAGCACTTTAGGAAACTGAGGTGGGCAGATCACCTGAGGTCAGGAGTTTGAGACCAGCCTGGCCAACATGGTGAAATGCTGTCTCTACTAAAAATACAAAAAATTATCTGGTCATAGTAGCACACACCTGTAATCCCAGCTACTGAGGAGGCTGAGGCAGGAGAATTGCTTGAACCTGGGAAGCAGATGTTACAATAGGCTGAGATCGAGATTGTGCCACTGCACTCCAGCCTGGGTGACAGAGCGAGACTCCGTCTCAAAAACAACAACAACAACAACAACAAAGTAAAACCCTCTTCACTGTGATGACTATAAAGCTTGCTGTTGCGTCTCTGTATCATAACAAACTGTTTGCAGTCTGATGCTATACTCAGATTTGAAAATTCTCACTGACTGTTCCAGGCATCTGTCTTGCTGTCTTGTCTACTCATTCTTGCCATGGTGAAGACTGTCATTTCTCACCACTGAATGCCTTTTTTTTTTTTTTTTTTTTTTTTTTTTTTTTTTTTTTTTTGCTGCTTTTTAAAAGTCTTTTCCTGTTTGCTTTGAACTTCAATTAAAAAAAGCGGGTAAAAAGGTAATAAACGTAATAGGCTTTTATTTTGTTTTTCAGGTTTTTTTTTCTTCTTGTTTTGGTTCCTTTTCAAATCTTATCTTATCAGGGCCATTTGCCACACTGACACTGGAATAAGCCTGAATGGGGGTATGTATTTCTTCCAGTAGTTAGTTTAATTCAGTCACTGAGCTGCTGCTCTATTTTTAACTGCCGTGCTAGATCCAAGGGCTGACCATTCTTGAGAAAATTAGGAGAATCCGTTCAGACTGGCGTGGTGCTGGGGCAGGGAGTCAGTCATCATCTTTTGTGTCTGCTCATTCTTGCATCATTTCTTCTACTCCATAACCTGGTTGGCTATGAAAAGTGATTCTTCTTCACTAATGCTGCAGGAAATGGGTAAATACCCAATTTTCTCTCAGTTGCTTGTCATCCGATGCAAATAACAAATCTCATGTGTCCCTATTTCTGAGAGGTTCAAAGGAAGCAAATGCACAGATTCTAGCATAGGACGAGTTCCAGTTTCTAACTATTTGTCTGTGCATTCCATTTCCTCACCCCTGTGAGAGGTTGCACTCATGGTCATGGCTGTTCTGAGAAGTTAAGTGTCCAGACTGGAGGGAGGGAAATGCAAACTCAGCTTCTTCCCAAGCTTCAGGCCTGGCCTGGCAAGTTTTGCCTTCCCTGCCAGCAAGACCCCTGCCTTTGGGTGTCTTGCTATAGTTTTCTCAGATTGGAGGACTTGGAGATGACTTCTGGTTCTTAGTGAATTCCTGCCAAACACCTCCTCTTTCCCTGATATCCATTTGTCTTGAAGGTCCTTGGCAGGCTTCTTGCCAACAATTATCTAAAAACAAACGGAGTTGTTTGCATGCCTATATGAAGTAAAAGTATTTAGGAAACTCTTACAGCCCAGATTTGGGCCAGAAGTCCTGGTCTGAGTCTTTACCTAGCCACTCTTAACTGTGAATTACTGGACAAATCATTTCTTGCACTCTGTGTAATCTGTCACCTGAGTACTTGAAAATTTAAACCAGCAATTGTGGACCTCCTCATAATACTTTCTCCTAAATATTGGGTAAAATTAGCATATCGAGGGCAGGGCGCTATACCCATATGGGACTCTCTTTCTTTCTCTCTCTCTCTCTCTCTCTCTCTCTCTCTCTCGGATATTCATCTTTGGTGGCAGACCTGGTGTTGAAACCACAGTTGTTTTTGAAATTTCTCTTTCCTACTACACTATGCTGCCCCTCCCTGAAACTTTAATAATAAAAATAGCACACTTATTGGGCACATATTTGTTATGTGCCAGGTTCTGTGCTAACAGCTTTAAGTGCATTATTCTACTTACTTTTCACAAAAAACCTATGAGGAAGAGGTTATTTCCACTTGTAGATAAAGAAACTGAGACTTGGAGAATATAATTGATTTTATTCACAAAGACAGGGCAGTAAGTGGGAGGCCCTGTTCACCTCTGAGCAGAGCCCTGGCTTCTGTCATCCATGGTGCTGTTTCTAGTGTGGTTTGAAGAACCTGTGGTCTGAACTGTTGTATAGGTGACCTGCTGCTTTCTTGGAGAGAAATCTGAAAGACAGTGGAGCCCTCACATCGGCTTTGCCTGTGCACAGCAGATACTGCCAATTTTGAGCGCATTACACTTGTTCACCACGTTGCTTGCTTCAAAATCAATAAAATTCTCTTCATGCTTTTATTTTACAGGTTCTTAAATTATTTGGATTATTGTCCAAAAGTGTTAATGCTCAAGTGACTGACGTTAACCCCAAGGGGCTGGAATTGAGGAAGACTGTTACTACAATTGAGAATCAGAACTTGGATGACCAGTATTACGTGCCCCAATTCTGCCGTAAGCCCTGTGGTCCAGGTATGTTACACAAGATATCTGGAGATTACAGTGAAAGTCACGGCTAGGAGTTGTACATAGTAATAATTACTATAATAATTTTACAGCTTTTGGTTCTCCTATATTATATAGCATAACTGGGAGGAAAAAACAACTATGAAATTATTTTCCAGAGATGAGTTTTATTTATATTTGTCACACTTATTTGATGTGGTTATGGATAATATAATTTACAAATGACATGCACCTATGAAATGAAAGGATTGGTCTATTTTGCTTCATTTTTTTTCTAAGCAAAAATGACTCATTTGTGAATATGAACACTTATGATGTCAAAACTGATTAGGGTCGCTCATAATAATAGTGGAACTCTGAAAGCAAGGGACTTCTACTCTTCAGGGACATGTCTCAGCACTTCCCTTCAATCAGTAGGTCTCTAAGAAAGCTTTCCTGGCACTGAAGCCTGCAAAATATATTTGCATTTTGCAGCTGAATAACTAGATGAAAAAGAAAAGAAGCAAGCAGACACACACAGCCTTTTTTTTTTTTAAATCAATACTTTGAAAGGCAAACTAATTTCAGATCAGAAATCCTTCAAACACCAGTAAATTTGAAGCTAAGCAAAATGCAATTGTGCAAACATTTTTTCAACTTTGAGTAGAGCTGAAAAAAGTAAAACTATCACATGGGTTCATGTGATAGATTAATAGAACCAAAAGGTACTATAGTACATTTCACAGTTGGCCTCCCAGGCTTCCAGCACCCAAGCTGCAAAACAGGATGGGTCCTATTTGTGAAAAGATTTTATCAGTCTCCCTATGCTTCCTGTCCAGATTTTAATAACCCTTATGGAACTATCTTCCCTATAACCCAACCCATTTACACTTAAACCCATTACACTTAAATCTTTCCAACATGAATAAAAAATGGCTTCCTGGCTTTATTAAAACTTGCTAAACACAGTCAATTTGTCCTGAAATCTTTGTTTATAATTTTAACACCTAAAATGCAAATTAAAATGAAGAAAATATGCTTTGCACATCAAACTGTCAAGAATTTTTTTTTGCTGCCTTTTTGGTTTTGCTTTGTTTTGTTTTCATTTAAGAAGTATAAATGTAAATTGTTATAAACTTTTAAGAAAGAAGTTTGGATATATGAGTGAAAAATTTAAAAATGTGTTTACTCATTAAGATTGCACTTAACTGATAAGAAAATGCCTTGAGAAAATAATAAAAAAATAAAGGAAAATATTGTACATATGATATGTCATTATCAATATGATGTAGAATTGCTTAGGTAAATTTAGGGATATTCAAAGACTGAAATAGTATGTATCAAACAAAGTCATGTTTTGTGATATATTTCTAATATAATCCTCAATTATATAAATCTTCTTAAGTCATTTCCAACTGATCTGGATGGATTAGTGATTCTCCCTGATCCCTCTATAAAATACCCTGGGTGGCATCCAACCATTTTAAGTACTCCTCCCACTTCAGTTCCCTCTTGTTGAATTTTAGGCTCATCAGTTCAAATTGCTTCCAAATCTGCTTATGCTCATTGGTATTGTGATATTCAAATGTAATTTCATTGAATATTGCATATATCAATGAAATACAAATACAGAGAAAAGACAGATTTTATTTCCATGAAAACTAGGTTGAGTGCTTCGGAGAATTCAGTAAAGATGAGCTGCTAAAATGTTGTTGATGAATTATGTAAGGGCAAAATAAATGTTAAATAGTAGAAAAAAGTCACGAAAATGTCTAAAGCCGTTCATACAGATGATTGGTGTGTTTATGTTTTCATTTCATCAGGAAGGGGCTGGGCTTGGCGGCTGAAGCCTGTAATCTCAGCACTTTAGGAGGCTGAGGTGGGCGGATCATGAGGTCAATAAATGGAGACCATCCTAGCCAACATGGTGAAAACTTGTCTCTGCTAAAAAAAAAAAAAAAAAAATTAGCTGAGCATGGGTGGTGCGCCCCTGTAGTCCCGGCTATTCAGGAGGCTGAGGCAAGGGAATAGCTTGAACCTGGGAGGTGGAGGTTGCAGTGAGTCAAGACCGCGCCACTGCACTCCAGCCTGGGCGACTGAGTGAGACTCCATCTCAAAAAAATAAAAGAAAGAAAGGAGGGAGAGAGGGAGGGAAGAAGGGAGGAAGGAAGAAGAGGAGGAAGGAGGGAAGGAAAGAGGAAGGGAGGGAGGGAAGGGGGAAAAAAGAAATGAAGAAAGGAAAGGAAAAACAGACAAACAGGAAATGATAGGTGATACATTATGGATGTGACTTAAGAAGGAAAAAACCTGGGATTCTACTAACTTTTACATCACAAGAGTGTCAAATGATTATATAGTTATATTTTATAAATTAAAATATTTAAAGTATTTGTAAGTGATTTCCTATGTAAATTGACATTTTTATTAAATGATCAAAGAAGTCTTCCCCACATCATCATATTTAATAAGAAGGATTCTATGGTATACTGCATACATATTTCACATATGCACATTATACATATATATATATATATACACACACACCTGTTATGTGTATGCTCATGTGTATACATATATGTCTTTATATGCATAGGAATGCAACAAAATAACAGTCAATATCTCAGGATTTTTGATATATAGTTGTTATTGTTGTTTTGTTTTTTGTTTATTGTTCTTGAGATGGAGTCTCACTCTGTAGTCCAGGCTGAAGTGCAGTGACATGATCTTGGCCCACTGCAACCTCTGGCTCCTGGATTCAAGCGATTCTCCTCCCAAGTAGCTGGGACTACAGGTACATACCGCCACGCTGGGCTAATTTTTTGTATTTATCATAGACACAGGGTTTTGCCATGTTGGTCAGTCTGGTCTCAAACTCCTGATCTCAGGTGATCTGCCTGCCTTGGCCTCCCAATGTACTGGGATTACAGGTATGAGCCACTGTGCCTGGCCTGTTATGTAAGTGCTTATTACACTTTCCTGCCTTTTTCAAATTTTCTGCAATAAGCATATGTACCATTATACTAAAAACATATTTTAAAATATTATTTTCAATAAAACAACCATTCATTTTCTTATTTTAATAAATTGTTTTCATACTTTGAAGGAAAGAAGGAACCTGTGGTTTGTTGTATCTCCATCGTACCAAGATGTTGTGCTAGGCACATTCTGCAAGATAATTCATTAAAGAGACCAATTCATTCAGAGACCAGTAGAATACCACTGGCAAAAAATAAAATTATACTTGGACTTGGGCTCTGTTTTTTTAAAAAATATTGCTACAATCTTATATAGCCCTAAGCACTATTTTTGAATTTTGTTCTGGGAATCTTCAGTTTGTTTGTTTTTTTTTTTTTCTGTTCACAACTATTGTCTTTACTTACTGAAATAGCATATACATTTACATGTCATCATTTGCTCATGTAGTAAATATTTTGTTTTATCAAAAACAATATATGAAGTTATTAAGGAAGTCATGTACCTAGGAAACACAGCAGAAATTCTTTTTGCTGTATATATGAGCAAAGCAGATTAGACTGCTTATTTGTTTATTTATTTATTTTTGAGACAGAGTCTTGCTCTGTCGCCAGGCATCAGGCTGTAGTACAGTGGCACAATCTCGGCTCACTGCAACCTCCACCTCCTGGGTTCAAGCAATTCTCCTGCCTCAGCCTCCCTAGTAGCTGGGACTACAGGTGTGTGCCACCATGCCCAGCTAGTTGTATTTTTTAGTAGAGATGGGGTTTCACCATGTTGGCGAGGATGGTCTCGATCTCTTGACCTCGTGATCTGCCCGCCTTGGCCTCCCAAAGTGCTGGGATTACAGGCATAAGCCACCGCACCCGGCCTAGACTGCTTATTTTTAAAAAATTAGTTATACCATTAACAATTAGATTCACTAGTAATGTTTTTTCTCAGACACTTCCCCTGATATTTTCTGTCACTTTCTTCTAAGTTCTCTATTCCCTTATCTTCATCTCGCTTTCCCCATAGCATTTTTTAGAACTTGATATCAATATATTTGAGTATTGTAAATGCCTCCAGCCTGAGAAGATAAAGTCGTTGGTGATCAAGGCTTTATCTTATTTCCTGCACAATATCAAACTTATGAAAAGTTCCTAACGCTCAATAGGCATTTAATAAACACCTATCAGATAAATGAATTTTTCAAGAGAATACATTGGATAATATTAACAGCAATACAGTGAATCACTTTATTTTTAATGTAAATTAATACAAATGTGTATATTATTTAAAATTGTTTGTTTTAAGATAACAAAGCTGACAGATAATAAATTTTGGTTTGTTAATGCTTATCAAAAATCATCAATATGTACCCTGTCTTTTGATGAAAAAGTAATAGAAAGGGGAGAACAAAGGTGCTCACTAGGCAGGCTGAGTGCAGTTCTGACAGCAATGCAAGAGAAGTATTACTATCTCCATCATATGCAGGAGAAAACAACACTTTGTTAAAGATTTTACAGCTGCTGAAGATTTGACCAAGACCTTTAAAACTTCAAATGTTCTTTTCCTTATTACACTATTTCTTATCAGGATCTGTGGACTTTGGAAAGTAAAATAAGTCAGAGCAATGAGTTAGTTGGATATTCTCAGTGACCAGTAGCAACTATCCCCACTCTGAATACGTACCTACCAACTTCTCCCCTTTCTCCAAAGAAGTTAGTTGTTGGCATAGGTTGTCCAGTGGATTTTGTCATTCTAACCTTTCTTTATTTTTTGATATGCTCCTGTTGTTAATCATCCTATTTCTATAGGTATATTCCTTCAATCACTCTTTTAGCTTTTGTCTTGGGAGACTTTCTGACTCTTGACATGACTTTTACTATCATTTCCTCCCCCATTGAATTTATAAATCATTAGCCTGTTGCCACTCCCCTTCTGTTTTAGAGTTTTATTGTCTGTCACCCCTGCGTACTTCCCACCCTGTTGCTTGCCCATGTCCTGTTCAAACACTTGCCCCTTTTTTCCTTGGACAGGTGAAAAGAAAGCTAGGGATTGCACAATGGATGGGGATGAACCAGACTGCGTGCCCTGCCAAGAAGGGAGGGAATACACTGACAAAAGTCATTTTTCTTCCAAATGCAGAAGATGTAGATTGTGTGACGAAGGACATGGTAAGAGTCTTAAAAAGCAATTGAAAGAGACCGATCTTGGAATTCCATGTAGAGCCATTTATAAGACAATTTGAAATTGGGGCCTACTGTGGTGCTACATTGACATACAGGAAAGGGAAGGACAGGTGGCTAGGGTACCGCAGGAACAGCTACCGAGCTAACTACTGATCTAGACCTTTACGAGTAGGTCTAGGCAATTCTTCCAGATGTAGAAGAATGACTAAATATGAACCCTAGGACCAGGGTTCATCAGCTCAAATCAAAACCTCATTTTTTTTTTCTGGCCTTGATTTATACTTGTATAATGGTGCTTGTTCATGGCCAGAAAAAGCTCAGAAGACTGTAGATACAAGGACACAGAAATCCAACAGGTGGGTAGAAATGCTCCCCATTTCTTTAGGGATTTAGTTTGTCCTGATAATTCCCTTTGGGGACCTTAATCTTCATGATATCTCGATCTATTCTAAGGGCCCAGATTAAAGTATAACAGAAGTATTTCTAGTTTGGTTTGACATGAAGAAGCCTCTGGACATAAAGCTTTTCCTGTTCAGATTCAGAGTGTAAAGCAATGTTTCTCATCCCTGGCAATACATTACAATTGCTTAGGGAGCTACTAAAAATGTTTAATGTTAACTCCTGCTCAGGGCAATGAATGAAATCAAGGTGTCTAAGTGAGGGTCTTGGTATTGGTCTGATTCAGTCTAGGGTAGAGTCTAACATTCTGCATTTTTTTTTCCTTTGAGGCAGAGTCTCGGTCTTTCACCCAGGCTGGAGTGAAGTGGTACAATCTTAGCTCACTGCAACCTCCACCCTCTGGGTTCAAGTGATTCTCCTGCCTCAGCCTCCTGAGTAGCTAGGATTACAGGTGCCCGCCAACATACCTGGCTGATTTTTGTATTTTTAGCAGAGACAGAGTTTCACCACATTAGCCAGGCTGGTCTCAAACTCATGATCTCAGGTGATCCACCCACCTGCCTCCCAGAGTGCTGGGATTACAGGCATGAGCTACATCCCTCAGCCTACTCTGCGTTTTTAGCAAGCTCCCAATTGATGCTGATGCTGCCAGTCCCCAAGTCACCCTTGAGTATTAAGGCTGTGGACGAGGAATGGTGAGGTTTGTCTTGGTGGCTGCTAAATGATTGCTGGCTATTTCAATCTGGGGTTGCCTGTTCTGTGTTTAAACCCCAACTGTATTATGGATGTTATGCCGTGACTGTTGATATAAGCATTAGATCTCAAAAATCCATGCAGCTCCTGACCACCATTTTCATAGTCCATTTATAATTAGCTCCTATAACTAATAATTTGAAATTTGATTCCCTAGGCTTAGAAGTGGAAATCAACTGCACCCGGACCCAGAATACCAAGTGCAGATGTAAACCAAACTTTTTTTGTGATTCTGCTGTATGTGAACACTGTGACCCTTGTACCATGTAAGTTTTAGTCTTTCTCTGATTAAAACACTAGATAAAACTTGAGAATTATTGTTTTCCTAGGGAAGTAACACTGATTGACAGTTAAAAATTAGGGTTCTAGTCTTGCTTTGCCACCAAGCACTAAATGACCGTTTGTTCATTTAAACATTAGTGAACACTTCCTGTATAGGTGACACTGTGCCAGCCAGTTAAGTTAAAGATATGAGCCAGACACATGCCTGGCATGAAGGTGTCAGTCCAGGAGCACAGAGAGTCGAGAAAAGCAATGGTTATTGTGTATCAACGGCATGAGAATAGCATCAGAGGAGACTTATGTTCCAGGCACTACAAATTACACAGGAAAAGCTTTCAACTCTGCCTAAGGGGATAGAGGTGAAGACATAAATGTGTCTCATGGCTTTAGTCTTGAAGAAAGAAAAGAAAGCATTTTAACAGGTGCACGTGGATAGAATGCACATTTGAGGCAGGGGAAGAGCAGCTGCAAAGAGACAAAGGAAGTTCAGGAAAACAGGGTACCTGGCCGGAGTGTAGGAAAGACTGAGAAGGGGTCAGGGCTGAATCATGAAGGGCTTTGTCTTTTAGGCTAAAGAGGTTAGTTTTGACCCAGAGTTAGAGAACCTGACTTGTAATTCATCTTGGGAAGCTTTTAGGAGTTTATCGAATAGGCTTAAGAATTAAGGGCATGGTCCTTTCTGTTTTATTTGCTAGAAAAATTTTATGTGCAGTTGTCCCAGACTCTCCCCAGCCCCATGTGTCTTCAAGTGCCCCTATGATGGCCGGGTAGGTAGGCATTGGGGAGGGAGCTGATTTAGTAAAATAATAACAATATTTCATAATCTTGATTTAATTTTCTTTTCATCATAACCTTTTGAAATAGATACTATTATTTCCATGTTACTGATGAGAAAATAGCCTCATCGCAGTTTGAATTCCCAAGCTCACCTAGTCAAGTAATGGGCAGAGGCTGTGAACTCAGGCAACCTGACTGTCAATGTTTGTCTGACTGAAGGAAGTCCCACATGAACCTCTTGTGTCTCCTGATCACCACCGGATGCTAAAAGTGGCAGCCTCTAAAGGCCAGCTGAGTAGACTCTGTAAGCTGCATCATGGGTGTGGCTGTCATCAGGCCATTTTCTTGGTCTATGGGAATTTTTGAAATTACTTTTGGCAGTTTATTTTAAGAGCTAGTTTAAGCTATACAATTTGTGTTCAGTTTATTACCAGGTTTAATTTTATTTTTGTGTCTACTTCATCTCTCTTGTGTATCAATATTTTTCTATCTTCCTTTAATTCTGAAAATTTTAAAATAGAGTCATTTCTTATGATATTTTTTTATCTAGCCATCCAAATTATATTAACTTGTGCCAACTTTAGATACTAATCTTGAAATATTTGAGGGAATACATTTGCCAGAGATGCAAAGATGAATAAAATGGCCTCTTATTTATAACGTACCATTGAAAATGATAAAAGCATCATTCCACCAGGCTTTTGAATTTCCCCTGTATTTTTTTTTTCTAGATGTGAACATGGAATCATCAAGGAATGCACACTAACCAGCAATGCCAAGTGCAAAGAGGAAGGTAATTTTTTTTTACAGTTACCTTCTCCTATCCCCCATCCCCATGGAAAAATGTGAAGAAAAAACAATCACTTTTGATTATTTGAGAGTCCTCTGTTTAATCTTCAAGATTGCTATATTTTCATATAAAATGTCCAATGTTCCAACCTACAGGATTCAAATATGGCTTGCTGTGGTTGTGTCTCCTTCTTCTCCTAATTCCACCAATTGCTTGGGGTAAGTTCTTGCTGTGTTCAAACTGTAGATTGAAATAACTTAGGAAGTAGTTCGCAAAAACATGCCTCACTCCTACCTATAAAAAGCTGCCACTTTGGTAGATTTACGTATTGTTAATTTCTTGCCCCTGAATGCAGCCTTGAGAGTTGATTGATAAGAACAAATGAAATGATCCCTCAGCTAGTTTCTGAGCAACAGTTTTGGGACATTGAATGGTATTCCAGTCCTCCCTATGAACAAGGGTTCTCTGCAGCAGCAGAGTTGGCCAACAATCAGAAGCAGTTATTCACTATTTATTGAGATCTCTCTACGCAAAAAGAAGACACAAGAAGCAAATGCATTCCCAGGAAACGTATTGCAGGGAACACTAATAAAACAAAACAAAACAAAACAAAACAAAACAAAAAACGTGTCCTCCTCTTTCTCCTCTTCCTTGCCCAAATTGCTTGTTTTTAATTATTTCACCTTCTTAACTTAAAATACTGTGAGAACACATGTTATGCAAGGATGACTTAGTAGAGTCAGTAGATAAGCTGAAATTACATGTAATCATAATTAGTCTAGAAAAATCCCTTTAAATCATCCATAAACTACAGGGTCACACCAACTTTCAGTAACTTAGAAGTATCCAATTTTCCCTTCTCTGTTGGAACAATGCTCTGTTTCTTCAGTTCAGTTGAAGAAGAAAGTTTGCCTTGCCTTTAGCGTTGTTTAGCTGAAAATACATTCTAGATGTGTAAGCCACTGTAATTGTGCTCAGAGACATGCAGATTCTTCTATCTCACATTGATTTTAATGCACACACCTACTGAGTACGTATACTTGAGTTATTTGTGCTTGTGTTAGAATTTCTGAGCATCCATGGCAAGTCAGTGTTGACTTGCTCGTCCTATGCCTTCTGTGTCCTGCCACAGTCTTGCCACTCGCATCTTTGCTGGAGAGGGAGTGGTGCTAGCCATACAATAAGCCAAAAGCCATCTCCATGCTAGGCCAACGTGTAGTAATTACATGACTAATTAACTTATGTCCTTTCACTAGAACACTTGACTCAGTGGTATGAGAATTTGAAAATCAGCTGCTTCCTGCAATGTTTGTCCACTTTTAAGTTTCAGTGATTTCTCCTTTTTGCTTCTTATACTTCTCTTGCGTGAAAGTGGTGAAAGTGTGAAAGAATGTTCTCACATGCATTCTACAAGACGGAGACCTGAGTTTGATGAAATTTATTTGTTCTTTCAGAGGTGAGAAGACGCATAAAGCACAGAAGGGAAAACCAAGGTCATCGTGAATCTACAACCTTAAATTCTGTAGGTATTGAAACAGGCATCAGCTTTCCTTGAAAAAAAAAAACATATAGAAATTAGTGATCTGGCTTTTTTTTTTTTACTTCCTTTTGCTTTTTTGTTTTTTCTTTGAAATGGAGTCTCACTCCATAGCCCAGGATGGAGTGCAATGGTGCAATCATGGCTCATGCAGCTTCAAACTCCTGGGCTCAAGTGATCCTCCTGCCTCAGCTGAGACTCTGGGACTACAGGCATGCACCACCATGCCAGGCAAATTTTTTTACATTATTTTAGAGACAGGGTTCACTTTGTTGCCCAGACTGGTCTCAAACTTTTGGCCTCAAGCAGCCCCTCTGCCTCAGCCTCCCAAAGGGCTGGGATTATAGGTGTGAGCCATCACATCCAGCCTGTTACTTTCTTTATTTAATGTGTTTGAGTGTGCTTAGGTTAAAGGGGCCTCACAGATGAACGATGATATGGTACCCAATTTAAAAGTAAGCTTCTATGCAAAAACCATGAGAATCAATAAAGAGGGAATTGAGGGTGTGCTGAAAATGAGTTGAAAAAAGAACGTGGCCAATCTCCATGTTCCGTAGTGTTGTTATCCCTGCAGAGAAACAGCCTTTACCAGGCATGGGTTCGGTATCCAAGCCTGAGCAAAAAGATTGCTCTTAAAGTTTGTTGTAAAGGCACAGCTTAACTTTCTCTGCCTGCTGGTCAATCTTATGTCTCACCATATCTTTTCCCAACATGGTATCAATACATTCCAAATAGCAAAAATACACTGAGAAAAGAAAACAGTTTCACTAAATGGAATTACTTTCTTATTTGGGGCCAGGGCTCAGTGGAAGTTAGGATTCTTTAAATTAAAATGGTACAAAAAATTTCATTTGAACCATTTTCTGGTATCAAAAATAAGAATAAGTTACAGGGAAGAAAATTTTAGAGTGATTATATTTATTATTTTAATAAGTCTATATGAAAAATAACCTCAAACTACTTTATGAATTCTTTAGGTTTCTTGCCTTTGAAAACTAAGACAATATTGCCTAGTTTCTGGGAAGGCTGGAACCTTTCAGAATCAAAGTTGAATGATGAAAGTATCCTTCTTAATCACTTAATCTAGTTTTCTAATTTTATTCATCAAGCAACTTATTGTTGCTTGTTGTTCTTTTTACAAATTAAGGAAAAATTAGAAGTTGACATTTAGAATATTTTAAACATATACTTTTATTTGTCTTTCTCTGATTTTCTATTTTGCTTTCTAGGAAACGGTGCCAATGAATTTATCTGGTAAAGCTTTTATCATTTTATTTCGTAGAGATTGCTTCTTTTAGAGTAATAGGCCAATTTCCGAGACAAATAATGTTGCCAATTTCAGTGACATACTGTGGGATCTTGCTATTTCTCATATAGTTCTACATGCTCAGCATAAAGCATTTATTAGGCAGTTTGTTTAAATTTATAATGAATACTCATAGTTAAAAATAAATCAAGTAACAATAGGATACAATAGTCTGAGGCTTAATAAAATTTTCCTTCATAATCAGCTAGATGTATTAACAGAACGCTGCCTAAACAGATCTAGAATTTAGAGTGAACTGTAAACTCAGGTATTACTGGTGTACCCAACTCTATAACAACATACATGATTCCATTCAGTTGTTCTTTGATCTGCGATTTAGAAATAAGATGGTCGTAAACTCTGCTTATACTTTTAGATTTGTGGGTCATTGATCATTGGATCCATAAGGGGTGTTATAGGTGATCTTTTTCAATCCTCTTATTTTATAGATGAGAAAAGAAGATACAGAAATGTTATGTTGTATCAAGGTCATATAGCAAATTACTGGGTACATGGCAGGATTTGGAGTAAGAACTCAAGGTTGTCTTTTTTCTGTATTCCCCCGGTCAGCTCTTTATAGGTCTTTAGGACTTAGCTACATTCTGAAGTACTATACAAAGAGAAATAAACATGATTTTCAGTAATGGGAATTGCATTTAGAAAAACAAATTTTCAGACGTTTTTCTATTTTTCAGATGTTGACTTGAGTAAATATATCACCGTTATTGCTGAACACATGACGATAAGTCAAGTTAGAGACTTTGTTCGGAAGAATGGTGTCAATGAAGCAAAAATAGATGAGATCAAGAATGACAATATCAAAGACACAGCAGAACAGAAAGTTCAGCTGCTTCGTAATTGGTATCAACTTCATGGGAAGAAAGATGCATATGACACTTTGATTAAAGGTCTCAAAAAAGCCAATCTTACTACTCTTGCAGAGAAAATTCAGAATATCATCATCAAGGACTCAGAAAATTCAAACTTCAGAAATCAAAATGAAAACCAAAGCATGGTCTAGAGCGAAAGACAATGAATTCAGTTCTCAGTATATACAATTAGTGTTTGAGAAGATTGTTAATAGCTGGCTGTAAATACTGCTTTTTTTTTTACTGGGTACATTTTATCATTTGTTAGCTCTGAAGAGGCAAATATTTATAGATTTTTGAACATCTCATGATTCTGCCTCCAAGGATGTTTAAAATCTAGTTGGGAAGACAAACGTTATCAAGAGTAAATGCGGTGGCCTGCTAAGTACTGAAAGATTAAGATTATGCTCTGGTATCTAACATAAGATTCTGTAGTATGAATGTAATCAGTGTATGTTAGTACAAATGTCTATCCACAGGCTAACCCCATTCCATGAATCAATAGAAGAAGCTATGACCCTTCATTGAAACGTCAGTTACTGAATCAAGCCACTTTGCCTCTAAATTACCTCTGACAATTCTAGAGATTTTACCATATTTCTAAACTTTGTTTACAACTCTGAGAGGAACAGATTTATGTAAAGTATATGTATTTGAATGCAGAATTTAAATAAGGCTCTACCTCAAAGACATTTGCACAGATTATTGGTGTCTTATTATATTGATTTCAAATGTGAATTCACATAAACATTAAATTATGATGTTTGAATATTATATATGTGTATGCATTTTACTGGCTCAAAATCATTTACTTCTTTCTCAGGTATCAAAGAAGCCAGAGAGTATTACCAGAGCTTTGCCACCTCTGCAGTTTTTCCTTGGTGCTCATCTTAATGACCTAATATACCCCAAACATGAAAGTATCACCAAAAAAATACTGAATAATCTAACAAAAGGCAAGACTGCCCTTAGAAATTCTAGCCTGGTTTGGAGATACTAACTGCTCTCAGAGAAGGTAACTTTGTGACAAATCATGAACACATGTCTATCATCAAAGATGATAAAATAGATTCCTGTTTTTCCCCTGCCCCCTGAAATGTTCAGTAATGTCCCATGTATTTTGCCACAAATGGCAGCTTATACATACCAATTGTAAAATCAACATCTGGATTTAGGAATTGCTCTTGTCATGTTCTGAAGGTTCTTAGACTTACAAGCCTTCTCCTTAATGCTATCCCACATTTAAATATCTTTGAAAGTTTGTATTAAATGTGAATTTTAAGAAATAATACTTATATTTCTATAAATGTAAACTGTGAAGATAGTTATAAACTGAAGCAGATACCCAGAACCACGTAAAGAACTTCCATTTGTGGAGGACATTTTTGCCCCTTATGTTTGGAAATATAAAATATAGGTAAAAATACTTAATATATTTAATTATAATGTTTTTGGTATTTCTGGTTTTCTCTTTTTTGGCAGGGGCTTGCTTTTTGTTTTTGTGTTCCTTTTCTCCAACTGTTGCTAAATATAACTCATTTAAGAATCTTTAATGCTTCTTGGGTCTCTTAGAAGATATTTCTTTTAACCTCCCTTTAGTAGTTAAATAATTATTTACATAGGTTGCTACTGCCAAGAAGACCTCTTCCAAACAGCACATGATTATTTGTTAAACAGCATCATATTCCACATACTGGAAAGTAGATAAGAATGTATAAATTTCAAGGGGTAGATTTTATTAGTAAGAAAGCCAAATGCGGAGTTTGAAATATTCTTTCCTGCATATTTTTCATTCTAGCTACATGCTGGCCAGTAGACCATCTTTCTTTTTTAAAATTGAATTTTAATATTGTATGCTGTTTAACCCATGACTGCCAAAATATTAGCATTTCAACATGTAAGCATGTGACTGAGATAACTGTGCTTTGTTTAGGGTTACCCACTGTGTTGTGGTCTAGAAAGTGTCTTTAGGTAGAAAGTCTGAGTGATCATAGGGTTTCCTCATTAATTTCTCTTCTCTGAGCAATCACAGGCTGTGCTGCCTGCTCTCCAGTTTTCTACTTCTAGGCAGAAGAAGGACAAGTCAAGTACTAGTTATTCTTCATGGCCAGAAGTGCAAGTTCTACTTTGCAAGGCAAAATTAACTTAGAAAACACCCTATTCCACTTTGGTGAGTTCCAGCCAAGAACTTTGAGTTCCTTTGTGAGAAGGGCAGTAGCGAAGTCTTTGTACTTGGTGGTGTGATTTTTTTCCTCATGCCTCCACCTAGTGGCCCCAAGCATGACTTCTCCCATGTCAACAATCACAGCCATGTTCCTGAGTTGAAATGACCTTATCCAAAATCGTCCTCATTCTGGTGAACCTGGTACTCTTTATGGTAGGCATACTAGGTAGGGAAATCACCCAAAGGTCAACCATGAGCTGCAGAAAAAAAGGCTATTTGCAGAAGGAGCTCACAAGTCACACTGAAAGCATTGCATTTTCAAACATCTTGGTCTTCCTCATCGGCATTCCTACAGATTCTTCTGATCTTTGATTTGATCAGATGCATTTTCGCTATTGAATTATCAGTTTCGGTACAACTATCTGAATAAGGCACATAACCAAGGACATTTAGAATTTTTTCTATGTTCACTCCTGAAGGTAGTTTGTTTGGGTTTAGAATTCTATACCATGGCATTTGTAATTTTCGTCAGCACTTTAAAAATATTAAACCACTCTTAACATCTGTTGCCGTTGATGATGTCTGCTGTTGGTGTAAATATCATTCCTTTGTAGGTCATTTTTAATTTTTTTTTCCTGGGGTAATTTTTGAAGCTCCCCTCACCACTTTCCTATATGTTCTGCAATTTCACAACAATGACTTTCAACGTGGATTTATTTTTACTTAAAATATTTAATAAGATTTCATTTAGGAAGACAGGGCTTTCATCATTTCTGGAAAAAAATCCCAGTTATTTTCTCTTTGAATAATGCTTCTTTACCACTCCATTCTCTTCTTCTGAAACTCTTACTATTATCTGTTGAAGCTTCTCGAGTATATTTCTAGGTCTCTTAATTTTTTAAAAAATACAATTTTCTCGGCCGGGCATGGTGGCTCAAGCCTGTAATCCCAGCACTTTGGGAGGCCGAGGCTGGTGGATCACGAGGTCGAGAGATCGAGACCATCCTGGTCAACATGGTGAAACCCTGTCTCTACTAAAAATACAAAAAATTAGCTAGGCATGGTGGCACGTGCCTGTAATCCCAGCTACTCAGGAGGCTGAGGCAGGAGAATTGCTTGAACCCAGGAGGTGGAGGTTGCGGTGAGCCGAGATCACGCCATTGCACTCCAGCCTGGGTAACAAGAGCGAAACTCCATCTCAAAAAAAAAAAAAAAAATATATATATATATATATATATATATATATATATATATATATATACACACACACATATACATACAGAGAAAATTATATATATATATATATATATGTTGCATTTTAGGAAATTTCTCATTACTCTCTTTAAATTAACTCTTTTAGTTTTTACTAAGCCAGGCTAGAATAGTATAGTCTATCCACTGAGGCATGTATTTTATTTTCTATATTTTTCATTCTTAGTATGTCTTATTGCTCTTTGCTCCTTTTATATTTTTACTTATATATATTTCATTCCTGCTTGTTTTTCTTTTCTTTCTTCTTTCCTTTTCTCTCTCTCCTCTCTCTTTTTTTTTTCTTTTTTTTTTTTTTTTTTTTTTTTTTTTTTTTTTTTTTTTTTGGCAGTGTAGACAGACAGACTTTATTAGTAGAGCAGAGGTGCTCACAGAGCAGGCAGAAGGGATCAGTGCCTGGATTTATCCCTTCCTCTTTCTGTTCCTGCTGAGCCCTAGGAGGATGGGGCCTGGCCTGGACCAATTTCTCTTGCTTTACCTGAAACACATGAGAATGAAGAGCTCAGGGCCGGCCTTCTTGTCATAACTCGAATGTAATCACTTCAATGAAAGGATAGGACCTCTCCTTCCCCAGCCCCTAGGCAAGAAACCCCAGCCACTACAAAGAGACGACTTTGTGGGGCCTGGGCTTAGGAATATCTTCGAGACACCCCCACCCCCCAACTCTTTAGTTCTCTGGGATGCAACATACTTTCTTTATTTTATTGACAATTTATCATAGTTTAATCTTATTCCATTATTTATCTCCTTGAAGATCCTACTCAGTTATTTTAAAGTCTTTTTTAGAATTGCTCTGTTATTTTAATTTTAACTGCAGTGATTTCCTGCTGATTTTGGAGGTTGGCTTTCCTCATGTGATTTTCTTTATGAATTTTTGAAAGGCTCATCTTGAGTAGCAGATTTTTTTTCTCTCTGCGCTCACCTCTCCTTATCTAATAGTTTTGTGTGTTCTTTTGCCAGATCTTCCAGAGTCCCCAGTTCTGAGCCAAGATTTTCTGAGATAATTTTGGGGCTCATACTTCTTGGTGATATCAGGGCTATCACAGATTCAGTCATGTATTTGGGGCAGCTTGGCTCAGCCATTCATAATAGGCTGTGCCAAATATTCCCAGATCCTTAGGTCTGTAGATGTCTAGAAGCCACAGTCCCAGGGAGTGTTTGGCAGTAGCTCTGTCTTAGCTGTCTTCCGCAAAACAGAAAGTTCTGAGAGAGAAGAAAGGAAATAAAACTGGTTAGGCAGACAGTTAGGATGGGTCCTTTGACAAACTCCTTCAAACAGAGAAATAGCCTGAAAAACAAAAGCTACAGGCACAGATATAGCAACCTGGAAAAAAATTAAGCTGTAGCTTCTGAGATAAAGCAGCAAGGCCCAACAAAAAGAGCCTTTGTTATTTGCACAATCAGCAAACTCCTAGGAAAACGTTTCCTCACCTTTTCAGGCGTGTACATGGTGGGCTCCATGGGAACTTGCACAGGGAGAGGGGCTTACCTAAAACAGACCCACAGTTACACAAACAAGAGAAGCTGTCCTTTGTGCTTAGCCGAAACATACTCACAATACACAGATAAGGAGAGTTACACAAACAGTTACAACACAGATTAGGGAAGTTACACAAACAGCTAGAGAGATGGAGGGAGTATTTTTTTTTTTAATAAAAAATTTTGGATTCAACTGTAAAGGTGACAACCCTCTTTCGGGCCCCCTCTTTGCTATAGAGAGCTTTCTTCTTTCAATTATTAAACTTTCACTACAATCTCACCCTTGTGTCCAGGCTCCTTAATTTTCTTGGTCATGAGACAAAGAACTCCAAATACTACCTCAGGCAACAAGACTGAAATACTGTGGTCCACTGGCAAGACTGCAACACTTCTGCATCAGCCCCCGGTTTAAAGAAAGGAGCCTGGTTCCTGTTCTGCTTCAGGTGGGGCACATTTATTCTGTACCAAACCTAAAAGTAGGCTTTACTTTTAGTACTGATCCAACTAAGTATTGATCCAAGTAAGCGTTGGCTTGTTGTGCTCGTATCATCTTGCAGTTGTATCCATTCTTCTAGCATGAAAAGATTTCTCTTATTTTTGAGCTTCACTGTGCCTTTTTATTCTCCTTTAAAGAGTTTCTATATATCACTGCTATTTGCTCAGAGTGATAGGAGGTGGTTCTCAAGAAATGAACTTACAATTCTGTATTAACCCAGGCCCCAGTTTAGTCATTAGATAACTGGAAATAATGCTTTGTTTTGTTTAACATTTTTAAGTTAAAACTAAGGTTCAAGTTGTTTTTCAGTTATATAGGGCCCTTTGATCAGACTTTATATGGTTTAGATCTGTGTTCCCACCCAAACCCCATGTCAAATTGTAATCCCCAATAATGGAGGTGGGGCCTGATGGAAGGTGATTGGATCATGAGGGTGGAGTTTTCATGAATGGTTTAGCACCAATCCGTTGGTCTGTTCTTGTGATACTGAATGAGTGATTGTGAGATCTGGTTGTTTTAAAAGTACATAGCACTGGCCAGGCACGGTGACTCATGTCTGTAATCCTAGTACTTTAGGAGGCCAAGGTGGGCAGATCACCTGAGGTCAGGAACTGGAGACCAGCCTGGCCAACATGGCAAAACCCCATATCTACTAAAAATACAAAAAATTAGCTGGGCATGGTGGCACACACTTGTAGACCCAGCTACTCTGGAGGCAGGGAGGATCACTTGAACCTGGGAGGTGGAAGTTGCAGTGAGCTGAGAACGCACCATTGCACTCCAACCTTAGCAACCAAGCGAGATTACCTTAAAGCAAACAAACAAACAAACAGAATAAACAAAAATGAAGTGTGTAGCACCTCTCCTGACCCTTGCCCCTGCTCCAGTCACTTAAGAGATGCATGATTTCCCTTTACCTCCCGCCATGTTTGAAAGCTTCCTGAGGCCTTCCCAGAAGCAGAAGTGGCTATATTTCTGTACAGCCTCCAGAACCATGAGACAATTAAACATCTTTTATGTATAAATTCTTTTATTTATAAATTATCCAGTCTCAGCCTGGTACGGTGGTTCACACCTGTAATCCCAGCACTTTGGGAGACCAGTGTGGATGGATCATGGGGTTAGAAGTTTGAGGCCAGTCTGGTCAACATAGTGCAACCCCATCTCTACTAAAAATACAAAAGATTAGCTGGGTTTGGTGGTGGGTACCTGTAATCCCAGCTACTTGGGAGGCTGAGGCAGGAAAATTGCTTGAACCTGGGAGGCAGAGGTTGCAGTGAGCTGAGTTCACACGACTGCATTATAGCCTGGGAGACAGAGAAAGACTTCATCTCAAAATAAATAAATAACCCAGTCTCAGGTATTTATACCAATGCAAGGACAGACTAATGCAGGACTCAAGAGAAAAGAACAGAGACTGGAGTTTCCCACAAAGACCTGCATCTTATGAGATAGTGGTGAATTGAAAGTCATACAGATCTGGGATCAAATATTTACTTTCCTCGTAATGGTATAAACAAACGGCTTACTCTCTTTGAGTCTTAACTTCCTTGTTTATAAAATGGAAAAAGTGTTTCAACATTTTCTGGTTTATGTGAGGATTAAAGTGTATAGGAAATATATTCCATAGTGCTTAGCTCTTTACCTTGATAGATAGATGAAAACAACAACAATTTAAAAAAACTCAGATGCTTAAGCAAAATGGAATTGACATATCTTACTAGATGCTCAGATATGGGGTGGATTTGATTAACTTAAACCAGGTGCCTCTAGTCAAGATTCCTTGTTATTTTCTTGAATCTGCCCTCTTCATCTGTCTACTTCTTGTCTATCTCTTCAAATATTTGCTTGCCAAACTGATAGTGACAAGGTGCCTGCAACCATTCTGGATCTATCTACATATCACAGTCCAGAAGAAATGACACTTATGCCCCCAGCCCTCCAAGCACCTCCTCTGACCCTTGTTCCTGCTGGTCCTTGCTTCTGAGAGCCATTCTTATTGAACTGTTTAGATCATAAACAACCTCTGAATCAATGACTTATGATTGCGGAATTGGGTATGTTGATTGGCTTAATCCACAGACTCCATTCTCTGAGTTGGGGTAGAATCAACTTCCCCTGAGCATCAAAAGATTGGGGGTGGGGAAGCAGGAGGACGTCTGTTAAGAGAGTGATAGAGGGTTCTGAGTAGGAATGCCAGGTTGTGTTTAGGCACTCAAGCTGGCTTAAACTACAGAAAAATATATTACTGCATATGACAGGCATTCCAAAGGTGTGGCTCACTGAAGCCTGCTTGTACTAGCTCACAA